CTTACTGCTTATGGTAGTCGTATTGTTTTTTTCCGTCTTACTTCTGATCATACTTCCTAGACCTACTGAAACTAAGTAAGATAACTTGACTAAACACACAAAAGTATAAGGTCATACTATTTCAGTATAGCTCCAAATATACTGCTTGAGGTGGAGAAGAAACTACGAGAAAAGTAGAATCCAGGCGAATTCGCCTGGATTTATGTGGTTTAACCGCAATGCATTTACACACGTTGGTCCAAAAACATTTTATAAATTTACAAGGTTAACGTACTCCATAATGAGCATCATCTTCGTTAAGTCCTACCAACTGCAGTTCACACATTTGTGCTCTAACAGTAACCAAGTAGAAGTCAATGAGAACATCATATTTCATTGCTGAAGTAACGCAGCTGTTGAAAATCGAGCCCAATATCCAATATACTTGTCACAGGGGTTCAAACGGTTCAAATGGTTGTAGACGGAATAGAATAAGCTTTCGCTTAACATGCTTCCTTGTCCAGTTGCAGTGGATCATCAGTACCCGTAATGGGAAAAAGTGAGATCGTGCCTGGGTGTTCGTCTTTTGATATGAAATCCTTCAAGGTGGTGATGTTCTAGTAAGAATTTCTTGTTGAGATGATTTGGCGAACTTAATATGCACTATGACGTTATCAAATCACCTCTTGTTCTCCCATCGATCCCAGGCGTTGGATTATGTATTCGCAAAATTTGAGTTTGAGACCTATCATTCACTTGATTGCTAGTCTCTGCAGTTGATCTGAAAAGTTTGTACCTCTTTTGAGGAGATTGAGTGCAACAGCATTGTGAGCTTCAAAATAGGACCATGCATGCGTTTTAAAGAGAGTTCAGAACAACTCTGTCGTGATTTCACTAAGTTGTCCACGCATGAAGTGGAAAGTTGCGTTTATCTTGGATGCATCCTTCATGTAGCTTGAGTTGTTTTCTAGGCTTTATGAGATCACTAGCTTGAGATCACTCACTAAGGAGACATATCGGGAGCGTATTTGGGGGGTTACGTTATTTCTTTGTGTCTAATGGGGCGAAATGTTCGTGACAGGAAATCTCAACAGATTAATTATAAATCCATTGTCTACTATCTACTCCTCTGTTGTCGTGAGGTCCTCTTTGAAGCTCAAGTGAACTGTTTTGGCCTTTTGTGGGCCCTCAGATCCTTTCACCTTCTATTTCCTTATGCTCTACGAATATGTGACGTGACTAAGTATCCAATTTGGGATATTGGCCTGAGACCAAACCAATGAAGAATAAACCAGTACGAGCAGCTTGTAGTTAGCCCTGAGTTTATATTGGTCTTCTAAGATAGTAGTGTGATGTGGGCTACTTATATCGCCATAAGTAGTATATATCGTTAGTCAGGAGTAGAATATCTGGCGCAGAAGATTGATAAGATCGGTAAGGGAAGAACAGTGAAGATACCACGGGTATTGTAGTTTGACAACACCATATAAGAAACATCTTCTGTAATGGAATTGCGCCCACCCAGTGAAATTAAAAGTCAGAAGCGAGGAGTTTGGAAGATATATTTCATAGATTATCAATATATTGAGGAGTGACTGATGTAAACTGGCTAGTGATCGCAGGAGATGTTGCACACGCCGTTCCAAATCGTGATATGATATGGATCCATGATCAAGCGCCTTCAGCTAAATGAGTTCACCAAAACTAATGTGGTCAGCATCCAATGTCGAACACTTACATAGCTATTGATTTTGGGGATTTATTTACAGCTACAAATCACTCCTTCTCTAGTGTGATAGTGATGACTCTACGACGTGGCCAGCCAGAAGTTTAAACTCAAGGAGTCTGTCGTTGGTAAACACTCTTCTGATAGCTTGCTATGTGTAGTAGCGTCTGGTCATCTTTCCTTACTATAACGGGCGATGAAATACAGTATAGTTATCGTAAAATAAAGTACAAATAAAATCTCAGTTCTTCATGAACTTCGTCGTTCTTTTCCGGCCCTCCTGGAAAAGAAAAAATAGAATGTGTAAGTGCATGTCGAACTACACTAGTACTTGCGTAAAGACACAAAGAGGGTGAGAAAAAGTGAATAATTTAATACACCTGTGACAGCGTAAAAGTGATATTTAAAAATTCTTTTTCCGTTTTTCGTTGTGTCTAATCACCTTAGATTTCTGGCAGTTTACACGGGAGCGTGCCCACTCCCTCACATCTTTATTCATAACAGGCCAGCAAAACCGTTCTGCTGTTAGCTTGATGGATGCTGGAACAGCTGGGTAAAAACGTTTGTGCAACGATTGGGCGATTCCTACCTGTAGATATGTCACATAGTAAGGTTTCCTTACCTATCCCCATCTGTTTAATGCACAGTTTTAGAGTTGTTGAGAATAACTCGTGCTGAAAATCAGTGTCTCATTTTTGAAGCTGAGCGAGTTTCAGAAGGTCGATTCCTTGGAAACTGTTCAAGGAAGTTGTACGAGAGGCGTCTGCAACTACATTGTTTGTTCCAAAAATGTGTAGTATATCTGAAGTAAACTGCGAAATGTAGTCGAGTTGTCGGGACTCTCGAGGTGAGTACTTGTCTGAGGATGAGCTTAAAGAGAAGGTAAGATTTTTTATGACCAGAAAACAGGATGAATTCTCTGCATTCAATAGAGTGTTGAAAATGTTGTACAGCACAATACATAGCTAGGAGTTCCCTACCGAAAGTGCTGTACCTCGATTCACTGTCTAGCAACCATCTCGAGAACAATGCCAAAGGTTGACAGGAGTGGTTAACCCATTGTTGTAAAACTCCTACGATTGCTGAGTCGAATGCGTCTACGGCGATACTAATGGGAGCTTGGGTGTCCTGATGTCCCAGCATTATTGCCTTTGCGATAAGTTCCTTAACTGTGGAGAATGCTTCTCGCGAAGTGTCGTTCAGGTTGATGGATTTCGCATTTTCACGGAGTTCGTCGGTTAGCGGTTCCATAAGGGACGCGCAGTTTGGTATGAACCGTCTATATAAACTTACAAGACCGTTAAATATGGTTGGTTCTCGGTGACCCAGAATGGCCGCCACTTTGCTTCACAGAGATCGGATGCCTTGTGCAACGACAGTGTGTCCTAGGAAATCTAACGAGTCAGTTCCAAGTTGGTATTTCTGAATATTTACAGTAATGCCATGCTTTTGAAGTCTTTCGAAAAGAATGTTCAGATGCTGGAGATGGGATTTTATGTCCGGACCTGCTATGAGGCAGTCATCAACATACGCATGTACGAAGTTGCGACCTCATCGATGTACCTTAAAAAGGTTTGAGCAGCATTTCTTGGGCCGAAAGGCATTCGGGAAAATTCGTAGAGTGCGAAGGGAGTGATGATAGCGGTTTTCGGAATATCGTCAGTAGCCATATGGATTTGGTTACAGACTTTAATCAAATCGTTTTCTGAAAAGACAGTTGTACCTTTCAAGGTAGCTGTCAAACTGTGAATGTGAGGCAACGGGTAACGATCGGGAATGGTTTTTGTATTCAAACGCCGATAGTCACCAGTTGGACATCAATCGTTGCTGTCCTTTTTAGGGACCATGTGCAAGGGAGATGACCATGGGCTGTTTGACGATCGAATGACTCCTAATAATATCATGTGGTCAAATTCGTTTTTAGCCAACCTTAGCTTTTCTGGAGCCAATGGGTGTGCTTTCGAGAATGCAGGTGGTCCTGTAGTCGAGATGTGATGAGTAACATTGCTGGTTACACACGGCCATTTCGGTTGAGGTTGGTATATCCCAGAGTACTTATCGTGTAATGGCTAATGTAATGGGTCTATTTTGTGCCTAACTGTGACTGGGGTAATTCGCAACCAGAAAAAGAAGTTACGCATAGATATAACTTAGTGTTTCCATATACTAACCTCCGTTTGCGCGTATCGATGAGTAGGTTGTGATGTTGTAGCAGGTTTATAGCAATGATTGGCATAGAAACATCTGCAACAAGGAAGATCTAGTGTATGGGTTTGCGTAAACCCACGTTTAGGTAAACATACCTTTAACCATATGTTGCGATTGACTTACCGTTTGCCGCCTGTAATTTTAAAATAGTTTAATGAAGCCGGTTGTTAGAATTTGTAGAAAAAATGCTAGTTTCTGCACCAGTGTCGACGAGGTAGGGAACTTTGGTGATCACATTTGTGACGTATAACAGACGGCTATGTTCGCCGGCTGGGAAGTTTCGCGCATTGCTTTTCGTGTCAGCCGACTTGGAGTTCGGATAATTGCAGGTTTTTCTGCAATTCCTGGAAGACTTCTCATACTGGTTGTGATACCAGCACTAGTCAGGATTGTCCGTCTCTCATCGTCTGGGGACATATCGCCTACATGAAACGCTTCTTAGCGAGCTTCGTGACAGTTTACAGTCATTACGAAATCGAAGGAAACGTGTCAGGTATGATGCAGGTCCGAAATGTCATTCTGTCTCTCTTGAGGTTTTTCTCTGACTGAAGAGGTCACGACATTAGAAGACTTCGTGATTTCTAGGATGCGGTCAGCGGATGTGGCCAGCTAGTCTACGGCATTGTTTTGAAACAAGCTGAGAACTCACTGAAGACAATGGTGGATGTGTCGCTCAATTTCGTGGATTCATTGAAGTTAGACATAAACACCGTTGGATGCCGCCTCAGTGGTCAAGATGTTGAGCGCTCGCGCACGAGATTGACAGGTTCCGGGTTTGAATCTTGCGAGGCGAGATCATGGGTGCGCACTGTTGAGGAGTCCCACAATTGAACGTAATTGCCGTTCAGTGCTTCCTTGTTTTCCATAGTGATGTACATTCAGTTGACTCATGATCTCAACTGTTGAAATTACAAATTATTATATAAACTACTGTTTTTATTCTCAATAATTTCTACAGTATATTATTAAAAGAACAAACAAATTTGAATCGTATTTAAGTTACAGTATACTCTTTTGAATTGATGATATTAATACATACATAAATATGGTCTACATCATCCAAAGTTAGAAACTGAAATGTATTATATTAATCGTTATGTAAACTATTTACCACTTGAACATAGATTGGCCTATGAAATTCAACAGTACATTCGTTTATTATTTTAGTTATAGTGGATTGATTTGAATGCTCATTGTTTACTAATATTGATTTTTCATAATTGTCCAAGACATTATTATCTTCATTCATTTCAATTTCATCAGTATCTTTTCTCATTAAAACTTGTTCAGTTAAATAGGATTCAGTTGTTTTTATACATTTTTTGTCAGTTTGAACTGAATGAATTGTCTCAATTGTATTCATTGTAGAACTATCAATCTTTTCGATTACAATAGGTGTATAAATATAACCTTCTTTACAAATATCAACACTAATTGGTTCTTCTGATTGACTATTCAATTCATGAGTAACAGATTGAATTTCATATTCATTATTATTTGGTAAAGATATATCCACTAAGTTTCTATGATTAATTGAATCAGGTTTATTATATTCCTCATCTAAACCAAATGGATCATAATTTGATTTTAATTGAAACTTTTCATGATATATTTGATCAAATTGATAATCATTTAATGATAAATATTCTTCATTATCATGATCGATTTCTGAACAACTAGTTGTATTAGGCTTTGTACAATCCATAATTTGACAACTATTCATAGAGACGATAGGAATTTGTTTTGATAATTTCATTACGTCATCATATTGATTTTCATTTTTTATAGTTTCCCATTTTGATCCATTGAGTTTTATATTGAAACTTTTATCTAAATCATCAACTACATTCTCTTGGTAACAAAGTTTGTCTACATGTTCACTATTCATATTACATTGTACATACATATTATGTTTTAATAGATTTAAATAACTTTGTACATTATCAATTAATGGTGTAAAGTTTGATTTTAATTGTTTATTATTTATATTAGATGATTGAATAACTAGAATAGAATCTATTTCAGATTTATCCATTGAAGATGTTAAACAATCTACTGAATTACCAATATAAGTAGTATTAGGTTGTATTTGAAATTTCTGTTTATCATTTCTTTGTCCATTATTATTCGAAGTAGTTTGAGTACACAATGAATTCATTGATGTTATAGATAGTGATAGATCATTTTGTAGTAACTTTGGATATTCTAATGATTTTAAATATTCTATTGTACAGCTAGTATTCAAGTCATTAAGTATTGTCCTAATCGAATTTTCACTTATGTTATCTTTCAGGCTTTCATAACATTGTTTGTCAGGTTGAAGAAAGGGGTTATGATCAGTTTCTTCTTTGTGCTCATATAAATTATCATTGTTATTTAGAGTATTATAATGTTCCTCTCCTTCAACGGTATTATCTACTTTAAGTTTATTTTGTTCTAATTTGAAACTTTGTGTTTTATTATTTATTATATCTGTAATAATAAAAACAAAAGAAATAGTTTTGAAACATTTGTGGACAATATTGATGTTATATCTAGAGCTTTAGATTCTTGCTATGCTGCGTACTACTTGAACGGTTGAACCTGCAACGTCGCAAGAGAGAAGACAGGAGACTATTAAGTAAGAATGTTATTGCCAACACAGTGTTAATTATCATACAAAACTCCCAGGTATTTATAGTTTTTAGTATAAGCGAACTCATCATTTTAGTTATCCGATCCGCATACACGGGGTTATTAGCACTCTCCAATAGGGAAGCTACACGTAGTGATTCTGGAATATTCTTTCAAAAGCTGATTGGACGGAATATGTTCGGCTCCTTCTGAGCTTCTTAGAGCTTCCTCAAGTTCACTTGTGGACCGTCCTCATAATTAGTTAATTTAAGCAAGTTGAACTATGGCTAGTAGTGAAATTCAGGACTCACGTTTCGTTCTACTTAAGGATTTATCAGTTGGATGTGCCTGAGTCCGAGTGTTACTGTTCTGGTTGGTTTCACTAATAAAATAGGCGATTCTGTCAATAAATTTCAACCGTTAGTTATGTAAACGATCATTTTTTTCTAACAATCCGAATTCATAAATAGTTTCCGTTTTTTTGTCTTGAATCAACTAGTAACCAATAATCCGACCATCTCTCAATGATAATCGCTTACATTGTATAACATACACTCTTCATCTAACAAGTGATAAGTATGTTTATTTTATGTTGTATGGTCTAAAAAGTTCTAAAGGAGGGTTACCTTTTATACTTAGTGCAAAAAACGAGGCGAGATCGTGGATGCGCACTTCTGAGGAGTCCCACAGTAGGACGAAATGGCCATCCAGTGCTTTCAGGTTTTCAATGGTGGTCTAGTTTCAATTGACTCATGATTTCAGTTTTGAACGTAATTTATCAGTTTGAGATTTTATTCATACATGACAATGACTATGTAAAACACTCTTAGTTTTACATTTATTAAGATGATGACATCGATTTGTGCACTTTTCAAATGTATTCGGAAGAATTAATCCATTTATAAAGTAAATCTATGTAGACTTACCTTCTTCATTATCATCGTCTTCAATTTTATCTAGATAATCTTCATCATAATAGAAACTTTCGACTTTATAATTTGTTATGGTTTGATCAATTGAATGAACCGATTTTCCATCGTTAATATCATTAATATTGCCTTCTGGATTACATGTGAACTGTTTAGAGGATTGGCATGATTGATATGGTATCAATTTGCTATTTTCAAAAAGTCTCTTTGTAATTTTACCATGGATATTAATTCCTGGAGAAAGGATACTAGATCCACTTCCCATTTTCTTATTATTTACAAATGCGTATTATTAAACAGCTTCACATATAAAATTCATTGACTAAATAATTATATGTGTACTACAATCGTTGACAATGTAAACTGGACCACTATTTGTCAAACAATTTATTGGATTGACCAATCGTCTGAATGTGTTTGTTAAGCTACATGAACCAGTTCAAGAATGCAGGGATATATATATATATGATAAGAAATAAGTCTCCTATTATTATGACTACATATATTATGCAAATTTATTCATATTATAACTGGCTTATTGCATTGAATTGAACCATCCTAAGGTCGATGGATAACAATTAAATAAAACGTATCTCAGCATTGTCCTATAATGAACAAGGGATAATAAGACATTAGATAGGAATAATATATCTGTAAAATCTCAGCGAATGAATTCGCTGGCAAAGTAAATCCAACGTCTTGCCTGGCAATCTGGTCCAAGGAAATATATTATTTCTATTTAATGTCTTACATCAACTCGGCGCCCAAATATTGTGAAACTATTCGCTCTAATTTAGACGAAAGTTTTAATATAAGGGATAATAAGTATGGAAAATAATAAATATTAGAAGGTTGACCTAACACATCATCTTATAAGAACCCTAGTAAGAAATGTTTATTCAAAAATACCAATAATTGTGGTCAATGCTTACTCTTGTCATGATAATGTAACTACTTCATCATCATCACTTTGAGATTTATGAATTAAAATCATTACTTTTTAATCAGTTAACTTTCGAACGTCTGAACACATTTAGAATTAGAGTATAAGAATTATAAATAAGATTTTCATCATATCTATGTTTACCTAACGTACACAATAAAAGTTACTGAGAAATGAAGTTATATTCATAAATATCATGTAATGGAAATATGAAACTACTACTACTACTACTACTACTACTACTACTACTACTACTACTACTACTACTACTACTACTACTACTACTACTACTACTACTACTACTACTACTACTACTACTACTACTACTACTACTACTACTACTACTACTACTACTACTACTACTACTACTACTACTACTACTACTACTACTACTACTACTACTACTACTACTACTACTACTACTACTACTACTACTACTACTACTACTACTACTACTACTACTACTACTACTACTACTACTACTACTACTACTACTACTACTACTACTACTACTACTACTACTACTACTACTACTACTACTACTACTACTACTACTACTACTACTACTACTACTACTACTACTACTACTACTACTTACGCCTCTTACCCCTCATGGAGGAGCATAGGCCGCCCACCAGCATTCTCCATCCAACCTTGTCTTGGGCAATCCTTTCCAGTTCTTTCCAGTTGTTATTCATCCGTTTTATATCTGCTTCTATTTCCCGGAGTAATGTGTTGTATGGCCTCCCTCTTTTCCGCTTCCCTTCTGGATTCCAAGTTAGGGATTGCCTTGTGATGCAGTTTGGTGATTTCCTCAATGTATGTCCTATCCACTTCCAACGTATTTTCCTAATTTCTTCTTCAGCTGGAAGCTGGTTTGTTCTCTCCCATAAAATGCTATTGCAGATAATATCCGGCTAGTGGAAATAAGAAAAGTTTAACAAAATTACAGGTTTGTGATTGATTTGCAAATTAATTAGTTCTGTAAGAAATATTTCATTTATTAAAGATGAAGAAAGCTTCTTCATTCAAAGGTTTTTATTCCTGACTTTGTTTGTGATTTATAACATTTCATTAGTGTTACTTACTATCGATAAGTGGTATTTTTAGGTGATTGATACACTTGTAGATTATTAACGTTGATAATCTCTTTCGAATGATTCAGGGCCTACTCGTGTTAGACGGTGGTGGTGTGATCAACAGTTAATGGCGAAGTCATACCTCGAGGTCAGCACTTTATGTGGATTACTCCTTCGTCGTATCAAGGTACTACGAATGCTTTGAAGATTGTACAACACAAATGACGTTATTACAGAAATATATTGGTTAAAGTAGATACAAGAGAAAGTATGATGACCACCGCATGGGCCAGTCCATGGCGTACGAATAACTGATGCGTATTGATTTTCCTTGATTTTGTTAAGGATCGATGATCTTTTCGATACTCAATGACCTGATCGCCGGATGATTCGGTTAGGGCTTAGTAACATTTCACTGGCCCTACATACTGGATATGATCCACAAGTCGGAAGAGGAATATCATCGAGCATAGTCTCATGGTGGACCATGCTTGGAATGAGCTTATTTTTTACATTGTCCTCGATTTTATTGAGTTTCTAGAAGTGTAGAATAAGAATTGTGTAGCTCCATTTGGTAGATTGTTTGTATCTATCACTCGTCTGGGCTATGGATGTCTAATTCAACATTTTTCTTTTAGTTAGAATGCCACTTGTAATAAAAAATATGAGGGAAGTAATGTCATAACAGCTTCATTAATTTTGATGGCTGTTATGATGAATGGAAACCTGAACAGTTTTGGATTAAGAACAAGTCGTTACTCGCTCCTTAAATTTTGTATTAAACGTGAGAATAATGACTGCTAATTATAATTAAATGATTATAGACATCAAGTTTCCCATAGCAATCAGTCAACAGATCATACTGTCAGGTTGTTAAACTAATTCTACTATCTTTATGCATGCGTGTGTACCCAATGTATTTTATCTATCATGTATTTCAAATAAAATTTTAATAGATTTCTAATACAGTTATTAACACCAAAGTCAAATTTCTGTGAACTATTTAGGTACATTAGTAATTTTGTAGGTTACATTGTTCAGTTATTAATTCTTCCAGTTTCAACGTTTATACACTGATTTGATTGCATTTATAGATTTGTCAATACTCGATAAGGAGTCCCGTTACTTTTCTTGCACTATTGATACGTCTACTTTTAATGAGTATATGATTTAAACGTTATATCTTTTCGTGTAAATCATATTCATCAAAACATTTATGAGAAAATGGTGAGAAATCAATTTTATCACTTGTTTAACCACATCGTTGTGTTGGATAGCAAAAGTGATCTTCAATGTATCGTGAAACTTGTTTTCTTCAGGATAGGTAGATCGTAGCTTGCATTGGAATCAATGAGTCTCGTTTCGTCCTATTTGGGATTTGTTAGATGGATATACCTAAATACCGTTGCTGATGTTCACAGTGAGACTCAAACCCAGAACTTCTAGCTCCAAACATTAGCATTGACTCTTTTTTCCAGTATAATTAGTTTGTTGGAATTTAGTGGAATGAATCTGTTAAGAAAGTTGTTAATTCTGTTGATTCATATCAGAATAAAGCTGAGAATCCTATATTTTACAAAAAATAAAATATTGAATAAAGCCATTAATAATAATAATATAACATTGGTCAATCCGATGTAAGATGCTTTTCCTGCAAATATGGCAACTTTCAGAGTGAACTGTTAAAAGTTAGAAATGTAAGGATAAGTATGAGCGTATTTTATACCTTGAGGAAAGACAATTTCGAAGAGAATTGGATGAATTGGAATGTTAAACTTTGAATGACAACCAATTTATATTGCATGTATCATCAATTAGTGTCCATGAGGCAGATATTTTCAAATCTTTTAATTGGTTTTGTAGGTATGCTGCGAATCACTTGACGGTAATGAAAAACATACTTAGTGCTGAGAAAATCAATATAAATAACGTCACAAATTGATTATGACTGAAAATTTAATGACATCTCACACAGTCATTGACATATTTGAAGCTCTTAGTTTGACTTGTGAGGATAACATATGATGTATACAATTCTGAGTAGTTAGGAATTCATGAGAAAATAGCTGTGTCACTGGATTGCAGATAATTCAGGAAAGACTGGATATATATATTTTTTCAGTCGAAATATCTCCAACCTTAATGAGTGGTGTGATCCTCACTGAACACATACTCGAGTCGTCTAGTACCACGGTCGAAGACCTCAACAATACTCCATTCGGTTTTCGACAAATTAGGTGTGAGACTGTGATGTTCATACTAATCAATGACTGAATAGCATTATTAAATGATACCTACAAACTCATTAATAACCGGATTAAATTATCCAAGTGTAAATGCAATTGGTACAATCACAGAATATTTAATAAACGATGTTTACATGACAACATTATTCCGAAATCTCTTTTTGTAAAACCTCCAGAACGTTCCTGGAGATCTATCCAAACTTCTCAACGGTCATCTCGAATATTTTTACGAGAACGTATTCACAAATGTACATATTTACTTGAAAAATATCGGGAACGAATCAAAAACCTAGATGATCTACTGTAGGTTTTGATTCCTACAGATTTACAAACCGCGATTTTTAACCTATTCATAGAAAGAGAACGCCACTATTTAGATTCATCAAAACGCCGACAAATTAAAAAATTTGAAAAAGATCAAAGAAAGGAAGAAAGATAAGAAAACGTCAGCAATAAAATCTGATCCGAATGATCTAAGAATCGTTCATAATTTGTCTGACAAAAACTTAACGAATCATGAAATCATCCTACTGGAGAAAGGATTAAATTTCAATTTACATAGAAAACCACTTAGCACCCTTGAAGTTGCTCCAATTTTAGAGCCAATAATCGCAACACTACCAGAAAAAGAATCGCATTTATTACGTCAAAAGACTTCCCATATCTTGACTAAACAATAACACCTTACACCAAACATCTCAAAAGAAGAATACAAGGCCCTACATTCGCTTAAAAAGGATAAAACGATCATAATCACGAAAGCAGACAAAGGTAACACAACAGTAGTCATGAATAGAATAGATTATGTTAATAAAGCTCTTGAACATCTTGCAACAGGACCTTATGAAAAGATCAATCAATCAAATTCGCAAACGATGAAAAATAAAGTCAAATCAGATACAAGTGAACTTTTGAAAGAGCTAAAACCAGTCATTGGGGCTTCGCTTTGGTTTGCTTTGTATCCCAAATCATGTAATACTCCACGGTTTTATGGTTT